CACTACTTCTATAACATGTAGAGAAAAATAATATCAGTTTGTGGTGTCCCTACTGTGAAACTATCCACTACTTCTATAACATGTAGAGAAAAATAATATCAGTTTGTGGTGTCCCTACTGTGAAACTATCCACTACTACTATAACATGTAATCACATTCTTCTCTTTCTAACCTTCCGATGCTATTTTAGATTATCAGTACGAAGTTTTTGTTGTGATAAAGATGCAAAAAAATTGGCTTCAATTAACCAACATTTTTAATGTTGATACGTTCGGTTACTTTATGGTTTTGACATATGGTCATCGAACAAAACAGTAATTCAACTAGAGTAGCACTTAGTCGAGCGCACACCTTCGCCACGCAGCGTCGATCATATTCGGCCCTCAAAAACATACGAAAATCTGTCTGTATGTCCGTATTTATCAAAGGACACGGATCATTTTTTGCAGGACAATGAGGAATAATGTTCTACATATGTCCACCAGGTTTAATCAAAATCCGATCAGTTTTGTTTGAGTTATACAGCAGAAATAGTGTGGAAAATCGGTCTCCGTGTTAACAGACACGGATTTTATTTACTTTTGTGGCCATCCAGAAACTAACCACTTCTTAATTGGGCCACAGTCCAAATGTATATCAACATTCGTCCAAATACATTTAGCCATTTTTGAGAAATCTGGATTGATTGATTGTGTTGTAGTTACGCACAAAGCTACACAAAGGGCTATCTGTGCTCTGCCTACCAACGGTATCGAAACCCGGTTTCTAGCGGTATAAGTCCGCAGACATTTCGCTGTGCCACTGGGGTGCTCGAGAAATCTTGCTGACAAACACACACACAGGGGTGAAAACAGGACCTCCGTCCACCATCTACTACCTATTAGATTACCCTCCGTCCACCATCTGCTACCTATTAGATTACCCTCCGTCCACCATCTACTACCTATTAGATTACACAAAACCTTTTAATTATTCATTTCCTACTCTGATATACATAATTATGATACAAACGTTTTCTGTGTGGACAGCGAGCGACTCCATATGGAATTTTGACGGCTTATAACGCTAAACATTTACGTTCGATACTTGGGGGTGAGCATAGCACATATATATACCATTGAGCAGCTTTATTTCGCTCGAAGAATTTTCGTACACTACGCATCGAGGCCTTTTTTCAGAGCTTAGAGGTGACTGTTTACTAAATACTCAACGTTTCTGAGCACTGTTGAGCGACACCAAGATGTTGACAAAGATAGACCCAAGACCGAGTTCATTAGCTACACTTTTAAGTGTTGTGTGTATTTTTACCAGTAAACTAATAACGAGTTTTTTTCCACAGAAAAGTTGTTTAAAATTTTAAATTAATTGTAGTGTGAAAAGTTCGATTAAACTCCACAACAAGGCTGACCAGAGGCGTGTCCACAAAAGTGGAGTGGGGAGTAGACCCCCATTGGATAACTAGCTCTGTCCTCACTCTTTCAGGATTTTAAAAGTGGAAAAACAGTTAATGTTTTCAATGGATTTTATTTCGAAATTGGTTTCCATAGGCTGACTGTATATATATACGTTTACATATGTGTTCTTTTGTGCCATTATCTAAAATGCCTGCGACGAAACAACAAAAGCTGTGTAATTTCCCTGATGTTACAGTGGGGATCGACATTTGGAACACCATGTATTAAATATTGTCCACCTAAGTAGCGTTTCAAGGAGTTTTTTAGGGAGAGGGGCATAATGGGGGCAAACAGTTAGTTTGTGCCCAGAAACAATTAATACTTTCATATCAGTGTGAATCATATGTAGAGCAATATTTTTAGCTGTAGACTTTGTATTTTAGCGCAAAAATACACAATGGGCTTATTTGAGCTTCGTCTACCGCGTGGAATCTAATCCAGAATTTTAGCACTGTAAGTTTAGAAACCTACCATTGACCATCAGATACTTAGTCTAGAGGCTTGTGATAAACACGGTGTAGTTAAAACGTTATTAACAATCCTAATTTTTTTGAAACTCGAAATGACTAAATTAAAACCGAGAAATGGAAAAAACTTGTAGCTTGCGGTCTTATCGAAAATATATATATTTTTGTTAGCATTGAACTTTAATGATCAAAGAAAGTAATTTTTCTTTCCTGGTAATTTCTAACTACAGTGGTATTCGCTGTCAGTGTATCCTCTGCACCAAAACAGTTTTAAAACGTTAGCTCTCCGTCTCTTTGAAGCAGAAGTTTATTTTATGTTACATACAATATATATATATATATTTGTTAGCATTGGACTTTAATGATCAAAGAAAGTAGTTTTTCTTTCCTGGCAATTTCTAACTACAGTGGTATTCGCTGTCAGTGTATCCTCTGCACTAAAACAGTTTTAAAACGTTAGCTCTCCGTCTCTTTGAAGCAGAAGTTTATTTTATGTTACATACAATATATATATATATATATACATACAGAGTTATAAAACGTTTCAGTTATAAAAAAATAGTTGTTTTGCTTTTCATTTTTTAACACTTTAAAAAGTGTCGAATTTCTTATTACGGAAATAAAACTGTCACTGACATGCAACATAATACTGGGAGCTAATTCCGCACAACAAAAGTTATCTCATTAAAACAAACGTGGCTAATTCCACTAGTACTTATTAAAAATATGCTACACAACTTTTTTATAGTTATTTAAACAATGACTCAAGCTGGCATGCTGAGTAAGCCAGAGTATAGTTTCGTTTGCTATTCCTAGCCAAGGTTATTTTCAGCAAGTTGTCTCTCTCTCTCTACTTGTGCGTTATAGAAATTCACAAGTCAAGTCACCAACGAGAAATATTAAGACAAAACTAAGCGGTTAAATATCAATACGAAATATATTCATGTTAAAAAAAAAAGTAGTGAATAACCTATATATTAGTTAAACTCAATAACTATGTTTTTTTTCTTTCTTGGTGGTAGCATGTTAGACATAAAATGGAAACTCGTATTTGTTAAACTCAAAAACTGTTTTTCCTTTCTTGGTGATGGCATGTTAGACACAAAATGGAAACTCGTATTAGTTAAACTCAATAACTATGTTTTCCTTTCTTGGTGGTGGCATGATAGACACAAAATGGAAACTCGTGATTAGGTAGTTACCATCACCTATTATATATTTATATAACTTGAAATATTCAATATTTTGTAACTGGATTCAAGAAAGTGAAATTTGTTAAAATGCAACAAACGCCAACAGTGGGACACTTTCTGCCACTAGGGAGACCGTTAAATCATAAACTGTTACTTTTGTGTTTTTTAAGTTATGAAGAACTAGATGTGACCCAAGACACAATAAATTTGAAATCTCTTTCTGGAAATTATTATTTAAGATTACAAAAAAAAAATAAAAAATGAACAGATGAATTTTGTAGAAAATACTTTTTTTTTCTATTTCAAATACCAGATAAAAGTTCTGTATTCCTAGCTGGTGTTCTGTGTAATTAAAAAAAAAAATCAACAATAAGAAATTATATACAAATATTTTCATTTAAATTCAGTGTTAAAATATAATTTTAAAGCATTCCAAAAATGTCATTTTAAATGCAGACCGTTTCACGTCTAAAAATAGATTATAAAACTTAACATCATGGGAAAAAAAAAATGATGCATTGTTATGATAACCTTACAAGCATCAATAATTTCCGTTTGTTTGTTTTAGACCAAAGCCAGTGTTAAGTTTCTAGTTGTAAAAAGTTTGATCAATTGTTTTCTGTTATGGTATTGTACCCAGTTCATCAAAAAAAGTTTTGAGGCAAAGAAAAAGTAACAAATAATTGACTTTTATACTAATGATCTCGAAAACGCTATCATGATGTACCTTTTTTTTTGTTATTTCTATAGTCACTAAAAATGATCATCAACTAACTCAAAAATGCCTCTCTATTGTTAATACTTGATGAATAGTCATACAACACTCAAAAATGTCTCTCTATTGTTTATACTTGATGAATAGTCATACGACACTCAAAAATGTCTCTCTATTGTTAATACTTGATGAATAGTCATACAACACTCAAAAATGTCTCTCTATTGTTAATACTTGATGAATAGTCTAAAACACTCACGAGTTTCAGCATTTCTGCAACTGGGTCAGCTCTTCTAATATATGTTTGAGTTTGATTCTGTCACCATTTATTTCTAAACTTAAAAAAACAATGTCTCAGTTGGGCTTCACGATGACCACATCTTTCATTTCATTTCAAGGAAGTTTAACTTCATAAGAATTCTTTGAAGCCAAAATGTCACACCTTGTTTTTTTTTTTGGAAGTAAGGCTATCTTTATCCAAGTGAGATTATTTGCATGTACATTCATCAAGTTCAAACTTTTTCAAGTTTAAGGAGTTCTTTTCTTAGTGTGTTTTTGTATTTTTCAAGTTAATTTCTTTCTGATTTGACAATTTGGTATGTATTTTCAACCCACTGTTTCTCTGACTGCTCAGTGTACATTTCCTCTACATTTGTCATTTTTGCTTTTTTTAGCTTTCACAAATATAATTTAGTTTGCTAACCTTCTTTTCATTGACTCTTCCACTTATAGATTCTTCACTTACAATTTTTGTAAGTTTTTCAATGTAAAGCTTTTTACTTTTTCCAAACATAGCATTCTCTAAACTGCCTGTGCCTAGTTTACCACTTAACTGTGTATCTTTTTCTAAGGTATGAGAAATGTTTCTTTTGCTGTCTACTTTTAATTCTGTTAATTTGTCTGTTACTGTGACATCACATTCAATCGAAAGTGGAGGTTGTCTGAAATGGTTAGTCTTCATGCACCAATCCATGCCACAAGTACAAAGTTCTGACTCATGACAAATAAAAGAATCACCAAGAGAATTCTTACCTCTTTGAACCTCACTTGGATTGGAAGAACCCAATTTCTGCTTGCTGTCTGTATCTCTGCTACCATCAGAAGACATCCCAGCTATGTTGCTAGAGGATGTCTTTGTCCATCTTTCAGAAGACTTTGCTGTTCTATTGTCTTCTAGTTCTACTGTAATATGCTGTGTGTTTTCGCCTCTACTCGCCTGAGACTGAGTTCTCTGAGTAATGACATTCCTCACTGAACTGGAAGGTTTAGAAAATGGATCACTAAACTTCTGGTTAACTCCATGTTGCTCTCCAGTATTTTGTTGTTGCCAGATACTGCCCAATGGTTCTTGGTGCTCTTCTTGGTGAGAAGTAACAAAAACTTGACCTTCTGGATTATTTCTGTTGAAAGAAAATCTCATATGAAACACGGGTCGCCCTTGCCCAGTAGATGGAAGCATTGCACTAATGTTTTGTCCACCTTCCTGATGAAGACTGCCACTCAATGATCTAACAAAGTGCATTTGTCCTGAAGAGGTATGTTGAGGGTTTTTTACAGAAGATCTTGCATTACTACCCAAACTATCTGAATGAGAACCTGCTTGGACTTTGCAATGCTGATTTTCACTTTCTTGTTCATTATTCACTTGTATTTCAGAAACTGTTTTAAATGTGGACCTTAAAGCCCTTTGGCTATGAGTTCCTAAACCCTTTCTGTCTAAGCTCTGTATGCTATAGGACTTCCTATCTCCTTGTAGCCCTGTTCCACTGACTAGTTCAATAGGATCAACGGCCTTGTCACTTTTAGAACGATTGTATCTTATGAAACCTCTAGGACGAATTGTTCCATACACAACAGCACTATCTGAAGCTGAACTCTCTTTGCTCTGTGATCGGGTGTATCTATTGTCATTTTCTGAAACTTCACCACAAGGACTTTCCACATTACAGCTGTCAGACATGTGCAGCCATTGTTCAACTCTCTTTCTTCGACTTTCAGGCATTCCTTCTGTTTGAGAAGATTCACATCCAGTCTCCTGTGTTACTATTTGACCACTAATAGGTGATGAAGGATTACTTGAAGAACTGGATTTTGGCAAATCTTTTGTAAAGGACTTGATATACTGTTGATATGTTCTTGGCCTTATGGTTCCATATAAAGATGCTTTATCTACTGCAGAGTCATCTTGAAATCTGCTGGATGGCTTACATGTTCTTGCTGAGAATTCAGATTCATATCCATCACAGCTTTCTACACCACTGTCTCTACGGAAAGTGTTCTCAGCTGCAGAAGAGTAACCATCCTTGAACTTCCAAGAATCGGGCTTCAGTCTTGGAGATGAAGGTTCACTAGCAATTACGGATGACTGACGTCTCGTGGGGTCAAGAACGAATCTCAAGACTGTTTCTCTAGGAGACTGATTTCTCTCTCGGCTAAGTGATCTTGTCATTGACGAGAATTCCCTTCCTAAATGACCGTTGTGATGAAACTGATCTCTACCTCGTAATCCCTGGGAACTTCGGCCTAAGCTGTGGGTTAGAGGGGTGAGCCGAGGACTCCCAAGTGATCTGAACTGACTACTCATATTACGATTAACAGACTGCAGAAGTTGCCAAAGTCCCTGGGACCCATACATAACAGGGTGAGAATCATCAAAATGAACATCAAAGTCATCTTCTAAGTCTGAAGAATCTCTGTCAGTCGAGTTTCCACTTCTTAGTTCACTCCCAAAGAATTCATTAACTCTCTGTTCTCTTTCTTTCCTCATCTGTCGAAATGGATCTCTCCTTCGTTCCCTATGGAAAAATGGATCCCTAGCTATTTTGCTGAAAGTGTTTTTCATAAAGCTAGAAACCATACTATCTCCAGTCCATGTGTCAAAGATATCATCAAATATATCATTTGATCCTGATGAGCTCTCACTATCTGATCTTTGGATATCGGACGTTTCTCTAAACTGTAAATGTTCTATTTTATCAAAGTCATCATCATTTTGGTTTGGTTTTTTTGTAATCCTTGTCTTCTTCTCTACTTTCGTCCACGAACCGTCTGCTGCAGGTGTTGTGTAAACCTTACCTGTTTCTGTTACACAAGAGCCATCCTTATTGAAAGTGAACTTTCTATAACTGCGAGTAATAGGTAGTGGACCTCCAGAATTCCTTCTTACAGTTGACTGTCCTACATTTCGAGATAAAGTACTCTGGTCACTTTCACTATCTTCAGGAGAAAGCCTTTTCAGAGTGGCTTCAACTTCTTTCTTCCAATTCACTTCATCTTCAAAAGATGGAGAGAGTTGGCCATGCTTTGGATGTTTCTGTGCCCCCCTATGAGACCTTCTCTTCTAGTACCCGGGGAGAGAAGTGTCCCCCAAACTGATTCACTCTCATCTGAAGGTGAAGTCACTAGGTAAGTATTCTTAGTAGCATCTTTTCTAAATAAACCTTTTGGATCAAGTTCAACCTCTGCTTTACTTTGAGTTGACTGTTGAGACTCCTGCCTTGAGTAAAGCTTAGGAGTCTTAAATAAAGACTGAACTGGGCTTTCAGTTGGGGGGTGTTCACTCTCTGAGTCTATAGCCTTCTGCTGAGATAATCTTTCTTCACCTAATTTAGCATTAGCTTTATTATTCTTAAAAATTCCTTGAGCAGTTATTTCTTTGGGGTCATTACTGTCTAAATTCGTTGTCTTAACTGTCTTCTCTTTTAGATATTCTGGTTCATCATCTTTTTCAGGCTCTTTTACTTTTTCATGGATTGCCTGAGTGGATTTATTTTTTTCTGTTTCAGTATCTTGAGTTTTTTTATGATCATTAACTGTCTCTATCATTTCTTTTTCTTCGAGTTTTGGTCTTACGATGGGCTGCAACTGATCATTTTTTGCTTCCACTGGCAGATTACTTGAAGATTTTTCTAATTCATGGTTATTCAAATTTTCATTTTTCTGCTCCTCGAATGACATTTTATTCTGTAAAATTCTCTTAACAGGTGAAAGCTTACTAACGTCTGCAAACTGTGAGGAAGGAGATCCTACTGATGTTTCAAATGTTTTTGGTATAGTGATTTTACCAGGTTTTCGTGCAATAACTTTGACATCTTCTGGTTTAATAACAGGTTCATCTTGGCAGACTGCTTCTGAGTTTTTATCAACCTTTTCCTGCTCAGTTGACTCAGTTTTAGGAGACTTTTCTTTGTTCTCTTTTTCATTAGCTAATTTAAGGTTCTTTTTTTCAGCTTCTTCTTCATCCTGTCTGCTTGAATCTTTTAATGCACTATACTTTGTAATATTAATTTCTTCATCACTTTTGTTACTCATTATTTTTTCATGAATTTCCTTCTCAGCAAGTGTATTTCTTTGATCATCTGTAATGGAATGCTTTCTTTCTGCAGTCTTTCTTTCTTCATTCTCATGCTTGTCTTCTTTTTCAATAAACTTTTCATTTTTCAAAGACAATGAGGTGACTTCCGAGGCATTATCTGCTGTAGACTCAACTGATGAAGAATCTTTTTTTCTGTTTTCAGTTGGTTGTGGAACAGCCTGAGCAACTGAGTTAGACTTACGGGGTTTCTTTGATTGGTGAGCAAGACTTGAGATTCTCACAAGATTACCATCAAAAGATCTCTCAGCAGGACGTTTACCACTTCCATCTTCCATTGCTGCAGCAACAGCAGATGGGAGGAATTCATCGTCTGTTGTCTCACTCTGGAAGAGTTGAGAGGCATTTTGGAAATCAGCTGAGCTATTACACAACTGATCCTCTGCTCCGGCATCAATATAAGCAAAACTGTTTGTGACTGTCTCACCGTCATCCTCTTCATTTGTTTCTTCACCATCAGCTTCTGCAACTTGATCTTCAGATTGTAAAGGTTCTTCAGCTATTTTATCTTTTGGTCCATGAGGTACAGCTAGTGGATGGTCTTCCATCTTACCAGATTCAGGAGGAGGTGGAGAAACAGGAGCTAAGGCCAGTAGGAGATCAATACGTACTGGTGTGAGATTAGCCATGTCCTCAGACACTTGAAGTAATGATAAGTCATGTCCGTAATTTACCCATGAATCTGTGCATATGTCGATAATGGTCGCTCGCTTTGTCGGGTCCACAGTAAGCAAACGGCGAATAAGTTCTGATGCCTCTGTAAGGATAATGAAAGAGTATCTCAATAAACAAGTCATGGCTAACACATTTCAAATAGTGTTATCCTAATAAGTTAGCACTAATACTATATTGGCTGTATTATTTTCATAAATAAGTCAAAGTTTCCTAGCAGTCGTACTTGGCAAGTCACGACAACGTGTTTCTACCAACATTGCTTGAAAAGCCAACAGTAATACATTTTGAATAACAAATGTACAACAAGTTATCATTACTATGCTACCAGCAGCTGTGGTGTGGTCCTGCTGGGGCATCTTGCAGGGGAGAAGCACCACTCCCATACTTCAAAGGTAAATTATTTTCTGTACTGCTTTCTTTTACATTCAAGTGTAGATTTATGGGATTAGAACCATATCTTTAATAATGAATGCTTTACATAAAACGAAGTTTTTATCATTAGTTGAAAGCTCTCTGACCTTCCTAATACTGCTGCTTTACAATAAGATACTTCAAAGTAATGACTGTCTGAAATTCTAGTACACTAATAAACATTATATCCATTTTGTTTACATCTATTGAAATGAACTGTGCATGCATAAACACTTTGATATTATGATGTACGTTCATTTTCAGGACAGATAAAACTGAGTATTATTAAATAACCTGTTAAAAAGTAGCTGTTCTGTTGGAAGAGGGGATTGGGTTGATAATGAAGACTCCTCACTTCTAAATTTAACAATACTTGGCTAATTAGCAGCAGTAATGTTTTAGGATTAAATCACTACTGGTATGCTACTTGAAACATTATGATTTAAAATGAAGTCACTAATGATATGCTATTAGCAGCAATATGTTTTAGGATTAACTAAAACATCACTAAAACACAAAGCCACAGAATTTTAAATACATCTAAAGTTATCTATCAGGGACATTTACCATACCCTGCAA